CATTACGTGTTATGCGTTATGCAAGAGTCTGTGCTCCCCGCTTTATTGTAGAAGGCCTATTATGCTTTATGCGCTATGCAAGATCTACAGAACAAGAAGTGGGGATGGAAATAAGAAACTCTGATTGGTTGATTCGCTTATGCACTATGCCTTATGCGTTATGTAAAAGTCTGTGCTGCGGCCTTTAAAGGCTTCACACATGAAATGCATAACAGGGGCTCTATTCTTGAAAAGAAACGTATACGAAAGTCTAGGGAAATACTACAGTATACGTAACGTATACTGTATCATTTCCCTAGATTTTCGTATACGTTTCTTTTCAAGAATAGAGCCTCAGAGCATAAGCATAACATAAGGTCGCAATGAGCGTCTTATGTAAATCAATATGGCGACATTATGCTGGATGCTCTCCTGGGTTGGATTAATGGCGTTTTGTACTCTCCTATTGGTAGAGCAGATGATGTCAACCAATAGGAAAGATTAATCCAACCCAGGTTGGTGCAAACCCGATCGGGCCGAAAACGCTATAATAGTACTTTACCATTTGCTACCGCATGAATCGCTGCCTCATGAACTGCTCCATGTAACTTCAGCCTGAGGGTCCTAATGCAAGAGTTTGTGCTACGGCCATAACGCGGAACGAGAGCAGGACGAATGGCTGCGTTCAGCAGAGAAAGCAGCTTTGCAACTGTTGTATCCTCTAATATGTATTCTCTAATATGATTAGTTTATACATTTAGATCTAACGAAGAATTAAAGGCAAGACCAATTATATTAAAGAAATTTACAACAGTTGCAAAGCTGCTTTTTCTGCTGAACGCAGCCATTCACAAACGTTCCGCACCAACTGCAACTGGTGCATAGTAGGCACTCTGAGCGCTCGCTGCTGTTATTGTATTCTTCTAGATTATCCAATATTAGCAGCGAGCGCTTACGGATCTGTTCCGCAACAGATGAGTCTGCTAAAAGCGACAAATGCTAATTACCATGATGGAGTTAAATGTCTGGATATAAGCCATATTCTTCCGGATAAAAACGTACGGTTATCTTTACGGAAAAAAAATCATAGTCGAGTATTCTTCTCATATTCTACAGTGATTGATTAATTTTCTACGACTTAAGACTCGATGACCGTCTACGACTTCTATGTAGAAGACCCTTTAGCATATTCGATTTATTGACTCGACCCGACTCCGAGTCAATGGTCTGTTCTTTTTAACTGCATTTCTTGCACAATGTAGCTCTTCTTTTGCAGCTAAACAGGACAGATCACATTGACTCGGAGTCAGGTCGAGTCAGTAAATCGAATACGCTATTTATTGTAGATACCGCATTATGGCTCCGGTACACGAGCGCGATGTTCGTCGCGCGCGATACGCGATATCCAATGAGAGTATACCTTTAGAATGAAAAGATCGATAAAGCTGTACACTCATTGGATATCGCGCGTCGCGCACGATGAACATCGCGCTGGTGTGCCGTAGGCATTAAAATGTCATAGGCCGGTATTCATAGTCAGATCTTATAGGCCTTCTACAATAAGCCGCAAGTCAGAAGTTTTAGGCTGCGGTCCACTTGACGCTACAAACGCTTCGAAGCGTTCTTTGATTAGTCAATTCGTAAAATTCTTTGTTCTGATTGGTCGCTCAAACGCTTTGAAGCGTTTGTAGTGTCAAGTGGACCGCAGCCTTAAGCGATCTTAAGTCATAATCGGTGAAGTTGGCCAATAGCCAACTTGAACGACTTGGTTAAGACTAGTTAATAGGCCTTCTACAATAAGCCGCAAGTCAGAACGTCAGAACTCTTAATCAGTCTTACCCCGGATCTACAATAGGTGTTTTAAGCCTTAAGTTTTAAGAAATTGACCAATTACAGTCGAATCCGAGAAGAATAAGCGACTGTGATTCGCCCATTTCTTATGGCTTAAGGCTTAAAACCCTATTGTAGATCCGGACTTAACCAAGTCGTTCAAGTTGGCTATTGGCCAATTTCATAGATTGCACTGGATTTTACGAGAAAATCGAAAAGAAGTTAAAAGTTTCACTTACTTTTGGCTCGTACAGCTGTCACCTCAGGTCTATATTTGCTTGATACAAGAGTTTTATAGTTCATATCTTGAAAATAAGGCCCTGCGCACAATGGAGGAAATATTAGGAACAGGAATAGATATTAAGATTTCAACCTATCAGAAACCGTCTATTCCAATGTAACTAGTATCTGATAGGTTAAAAGGGAGGATCCCGTTTGCCTACAGTTCTGATTGTACACACCACTCATATCAACTGGTGCCTAGTAATTTTTCACTGTTTTGCCAATGAGATTATTTTATTTTTAAATTGGCCAATCAGCGATACATGTGTGCGATAAGTGCAATCGGAGCCCTCCCGGTTAGGGCCTGCGCACAATAGAGGAACAAGAATTAGATATTAAGATTTTAACCTATCAGAAATCGTGTATTCCGATGTAATCAGTTTCTGATAGGTTGAAATCTTAATATCTAATTCCTGTTCCTCTATTGTGCGCAGGCCCTTAAAATCTTAATATTTATTCCTGTTCCTAATATTTCCTCCATTGTTCGCAGGGTCTAAAGCTGGAAACACAATAGACACAGGCAATAGGCACAGGCAACAGGGAATAACGAGCCGTCCAATCAGAGCTTTGGGGTATAAGTTCGATATTATATCCCAGCGCATAAATAGCGCATAAATCCTGTGTATTTAATTTTCCAAATCGGTTGTTTTTAACGGGTGGGTGGGCTCACTGACTGGATACTCAGTCCCCCCAGAAAAATTTTTTTTAGCTAAACGGAATGAGCGCAAAAATTGTTTTTTACGGATATATGTAGCGCATAAATCTTGTGTATTTAATTTTCCAAATTGGTTGTTTTTAACGGGTGGGTGGGCTGACTGATTGCATACTCAGTCCCCCCACAAAAAAATTTTTTTTTAGCTAAACGGAATTAGTTACGAAAAAAGAATGCAATTACGGAAAAGGGCGATCAAATAAAAGTAATGAATAAAATATAAATTTTAATTATTTTATTATAATCGTTTAAAGTGTGCGAGTTTTGAACGTATTTCACTATAAACGTCAGATATAATACTAAAAAATTATAAAACAATGTGAAACAAAATAGAACAACATAAAACTAAATAAAACAATATGAAACAATATAAAACAATGTGAAATTTGTTTTATATTGTTTCATTTTGTTTCACATTTTTTTATTTTGTTTCACATTGTTTTATTTTGTTTCATATTGTTTCACATTGTTTTATATTGTTTCACATTGTTTTATAATGTTTTATATTATTTTATATTATTTTATAACTTTTTAATATTATATCTGACGTTTGTAATGAAATACTGTAAAAGTGATTAAATTCACGTTGCGGCAATACTGCCGTGTTAATTTGCCTTGACTACGAGTCCCTAGCAACGAGTTGTTGAAGGCAGTTCGAAGTGTAGCCGTCGTGTGACTCGGACGTGTTCGAGCCGTCATCTACGATTTGTACGTCTTATAATAAAGGAAAACTTATATCCATAAACTAATTGGCCACATTCTCATTAAGTGTCTCAATACAGAGTATATAAAGCTTTATTCGCCCTCAATTACATCAAAGAAAACATAACATCAAATTCAAGATTCTACAGCTCAGAAGTGGGATATTACAATTAGTTCCGGATTAATTTTTCTCTGATTTTTTTTTTGGATTCTCTGATTTTTTTCATCATTGGTGTTGTAGAGTCCGATGCCTTAACATTATCATTTGTTGGCAGTCTTGACTCGAAATTGCGGTAATATTCGCCATTGAATGATTTCTTGAAGAAGAAATTAATTGAAGATCTGCAAACAAAAAACGGCATCACATTTTCCGATCGACGGTTACGGAGCAGTTTTGTCTTTCGTCGCTTCACGCCTTATCAATCGCTATGGATCAAAGTCGCTTAGACCAATTCTCTTTTGAAGAACTCAAGAATGAAGCTCTTAGTTATCGACTCGTGCCAGCCTCATCTTGTGAACAGTTGATTGACCAAATTATGTCCCATTTGGAGCGAAATGGTCCAGAATGATTTTGGTATCGTATCATCTGATGGCACATCATCCTGCAATGCTCAAGCTACAGTTCAACCTCAACAATCTGCAAGTGATATGCCTTCTGCGAATCTTCTTTGCAGCAGATGTTTGGCTTCTTTTCTGAATTAATGAAGCAACAGAGCGATTTAATGCTCAGACAACAAAGTGATTTTATGCAGCAAATTACCAATTTGGTTTCTGCTACTCGGATTTCTAACACTAATCCGCAAATTGTGTCTTCTTCTGATTCTTCTGGTGCTGCGGTTCTTAATCAGAGACCTGTTTTAGCCTCAGTTCCAGTTGCTCAAGCCGTCAATCTGCTAGTATCCCAACTTCCGTCTTTATGGTTCAGAAGACGAAAATATTGATATTTGGGTCGAGAAAGTTGAACGAGTTTCCCGTATCCATGATGTTTCCGATCAGGTGACTTTTCTAGCTGCTTCCAGCAAGTTGATCAAATCTGCAAAAAATTGGTTAGATCTTAATTCAGATACTGTTAATGATTCCTGGTTCAACTTAAAGCAAGCTATCTCTCAAAGGTTCAAAAGAGACATACCTTTTCGTGTAACCTTTCAAAAAGTCGAAAGTAGAAAATGGAATTTTTCAAAGAAGTCTTTTCAGGGTTACGCCATGCAGAAATTAAAGCTTTTACAGAATCTTCGTTTGCCTGAAAAACAAAATATTGATTTCCTGATCTCAGGTATAGGAAGTCCATCTTTAAGAGCTTCAGTTTCTTTGATCCAAGCAGAAACTATCGATTCTTAGACAAGATGCACTCACTTATTTTGGCTTTTGGTGATCCTTCCAAAAAGACCCCTCCTGTTCCTGTTAAGCCTGTCAATTCCAAGGATAATACTAAGAAAGAAGAAACTACTTCTTGCAAAACAGGCTCACCTACCGATTCTTTCAAAGAATTATTTTGTGTTTATTGTCGGACAAAGGGGCATACCCGGGACAATTGCTTTCGTCTGAAGAAAAAGGAGCAGAACTTGATTGGAAATTCATCTGGTAGCTCGTCAGCGGTTGCTTCGATTGAAGAGACGTCTTCGTCACAATCTTCTGAGACCTCCCAGTCCTTCCAGTCTCTCCAGATCATCCAGTCTTCCCAGCCTTCCCATTCACCGACGGTAGCTTTTGTCGACATCGGATCGCCGTATAAAATTAGCGACAATATTGTTAAGGTGACTGCTTTAAATGAAACAAATTGCTCATTAGACGCTCTTATTGATACGGGCAGCGCTGTATCTTTTATTCGACCATCTATCTTTTCTAATTTGACTAATCAACCTCTGGATTAATTAAAAGTTCCATCTCGCTCTTTTAAAGCTTTAAATAAATCAATTATTAAAGTTTTCGGAGAATTTACTTTTAAATTACAGCTCGCGATTTTTCCGAATAAAACTTTCAAAGTTCCTTTTCTTGTTCTAGAGGACGATGAGCTTTTTGTTGACCTTATTCTTGGTCGTGATTTTTTGCAAATGTACAAAATTGTAATTGTTTGCGAAACTTTTAGAGAGTAACGAAAATTCAAAGATCCAATTATTTTCTGAAATCTTTGGATGATTATAGTCAGTCTATTTTACCTGGCTTTCCTGATGAGTTTACTTTCGAATCTGATTTCGGACCATCGGTTGATGAAAAACTTATAACTTTAATTCGTGAAGTCGAGAATACTTCTGTCATTCCAATTGAAGATGGTCATACCGTCACAGTGTCTCTCAAAGACAACACAACTTATGCTTATTCTCCTCAACGCTTTGCATGGTCTGAAAGGAAACAAATTCGAGAGATTACTGATGATCTCTTGCAAAGAGGAATTATTAAACCGAGCATTTCCCCCCTTATTGTGCAAGGGTGGTTCCTGTAATTAAGAAAAACGGTACAATGCGATTGTGCATTGATTTACGACCGTTGAATGATCGTGTCATAAAACAAAAATACCCCTTTCCATTGATTGAAGATTGTTTTTCTCGTCTTGGTAATAAGAAAGTTTTTACTTTGCTTGACTTAAAAGATGGTTTTCATCAAACAGATGTTCATCCAGATCATTCTAAATATTTTGCTTTCGCGACTCCTGATGGTCAGTTTAAGTACATGAAATTACCTTTTGGTTACTGTGAGGCTCCGACTGAGTTCCAAAAGAGAATGATCCAAATCTTTCAACCTCTTTTGCGCGAGGATAAAGTTTTAGTTTATATTGATGATATCTTGGTGCCATCTAGTACAGTTGAGGAAAACTGTCTTCATTGAAAGAGGTACTTTGATCTTAAAACAATACGGATTTAAACTTAATTATAAAAAATGTCATTTTCTAAAAGAGAAAATTGAATATCTTGGATATATTCTTTCTCCGTCAGGAATTACCTTAAGTGATCGTCATGTTAAGGCTGTTAGAGACTTTCCAATACTTAAGAATGTTCAACTTCAACGTTTTCTCGGTCTTGCAAATTTCTTTCGTAGATTCATAAAGGATTTCGCTATTAAAGCTCGCCCTTTGCTTAATCTTTTACAAAAGTCAGTCTCTTTCAATTTTAATGATGGCTTGAAGGCTTTTCAAATCCTAAAACAAGAATTAATTTCTTACCCGGTATTTTTTTCGTTTATATGATCCCTATGCAGAGACAGAATTACATACGGAAGCAAGTTCCTTGGCTTTAGCTGCTATTTTTTTCCAAAAACAGGAATCTGGAAAATTAGCTCCCATTGCATACTACAGTCAGGCCACGAATTCAGCTGAGGCGAGATATCACAGCTTTGGGGTGATCCCGATTGACCACGGCTCGATTGGACACCACCAATCACAGCGACGTGCTTAGGAACTTTGTAGTCTCAAGCGCTGTGAGTGGCTCGTGTCCAATTGAGCCGTGTGCAAATGGGTGTCACCCACAGCTTTGAGTTAGAAATGCTGGCTGTGGTTAAGGCAGTTGAGCGTTTCCATATATTCCTGTATGGTTTAGAGTTTACTATTGTCACGGATTGCCATGCATTAGTGTATGCTGTAAATAAGGCACATCTGAATCCTAGATTCGCTAGATGGATCTTAAGATTACAGAATTATAGATTTAAAATTTTGCATCGTTCTGGACATAAAATGGCACATGTCGACGCTCTCAGCAGAATCTTTGAAGTTTCGGCTCTTGTTGAAGCTTTGCCTCTCGAGAGAGAATTAGAGGTAAAGCAATTACAGGATCCGAGGCTTAAGGAGATTGCTGAGCAGTTAGAATTTTCTGATAATCCGAAATTTGAATTAATACGAGGACTTGTTTATCGTAAAGACTTTAACTTGCCTCGATTTGCTGTTCCAGAATCAATAATTGATAACGTAATAAAAATTTACCATGACGATCTTGCTCATTGTGGTTTCGAGAAAGCAGTCCAGGGACTCAGTGTTCATTACTGGTTTCCCTTTCTTCATAAACGGGTCCATGACCACATAAGTAAATGTGTGACTTGCTTAACTTCCAATGCTGGTTTTAAGTCCAGTGAAGGTGAGATGCGAATAACTGATACTCCTTCTGAGCCTTTTCGAATTTTACACATGGATCATTTTGGCCCTCTGTGTGAATCCTGCAATGGTTTAAAACATATTTTGGTAATTATTGATGCTTTTACTCGTTATGTTTGGCTTTTTCCTACAAAGTCTACTACGTCCAAGAAAGTTATCAAGCATCTCGCATCTTTATTTCATATTCTTGGTTACCCAGAAAAAATTGTATCTGATAGAGGTACAGCATTTACCTCCCATGAATTTTCTGAATTTCTGTCTTCAAGAAATTTAAGCATAGGCTAATTGCAGTTGCTGCTCCTTGGGCCAATGGTTTGGCAGAAAGAGCGAATCATTTTTTAAAATCCTCTTTAAAAAAACTTATCGATGAAAATCATGATTGGGAAATATGCCTTGAAATTGTTCAATATGTATTTAATAATACTCGACATTCGGCGTTAAAATCTTCTCCCTCAAAATTACTTTTAGGTTATAATCAACGCAACAATACTGATGCTAATTTAGTAAAATTCTTGAATGAGATTGCTGGTGTTGAAATAAATTTTACTTTAGAAAGAGAAGAAGATAGGGAGTTAGCCCTGAATGCCACAGAAAAGATTAAATCTTACAATAAATTATATTATGACAAGCATCATCGAAAGCCCTTGTCATATAAACCAGGTGATCTGGTTATGATTAGGGATGTTTTGATAAAAGCCGGAGAGTGTAAGAAATTAAAATCTGAATTTAAAGGCCCCTTCAGGGTAACAAAGGTTTTGGACAAAAACCGATATGTGGTGCAGGACATTCCTGGTTCCAGCTTAACTTCAAGATCTTACAATTCGATTCTCTCCCCTGATCGCTTAAAATTATGGATTAAAACCTTACCTAATCATAACCATGATGTTCAAATAAAAGTTTAATATGCTATCTCTTTTTATTGTTGTTTCCTTTTTAACATTAATGTATATTTTATCTTTCAAAAGATGCTAGATTAATAACTTTATTGTTCAGTTAATTTTAGTATATTTAATGTAAGAATAGCTATTTATATATGTTAACTTTTATGAATATTATAATACCAAAACATTGTACTTACGTTATTCATGGTATTTTCATCGATTCTATTTTATGTATCACTCACTTTGATTGTATTCACCTTAATTAACACTTTGTGTATCTTTTCTTTTTAAAAATAAAAAACACGTGTTCGAGTCACACACTAGCTCAGGATTGGCCGAAAAAGTGATTAAATTCACGTTGCGGCAATACTGCCATGTTAATTTGCCTTGACTACGAGTCCCTAGCAACGGGTTGTTGAAGGCAGTTCGAAGTGTAGCCGTCGTGTGACTCGGACGTGTTCGAGCCGTTATCTACGATTTGTACGTCTTATAATAAAGGAAAACTTATATCCATAAACTAATTGGCCACATTCTCATTAAGTGTCTCAATACAGAGTAAAGCTTTATTTGCCCTCAATTACATAAAAAAAAACACAACATCAAATTCAAGATTCTACAATACGTTCAAAACTCGCACACTTTAAACGAATTGAATAAAATAATTAAAATTTATAATATAATATATTATAGGACCGTACATGTGATAACACAAACTATAGAAAATCAAAGCCTTACACGGTCTAGCTGGATCTTAATGCTTGTATGATTCTTATGTGAATTTATATACTACGTATGTAGTCCCACAGAAACGCGCGCCGAAAAATTTCCGGTCTTGAAACGCTAACTCTACTAAACTACCGCAGTAATATCACGAGTTAAATTGACTAGCAATTTTAACAAATTTTTTATGCTTATTTGCATCTTCGAAACGATCTTAATAATGATGAATAACATATTAAAAACTGTAAATAATTAATTCTTATTGCGAAAAATATTACCTCGGCCGGGAGTCGAACCCGGATCTCTTGCATACCGTGCGAGCGTCCTGAGCCTTTAGACTACCGAGGCTTACTAAAGGGCGATCAAATAAAGGTAATGAATAAAATATAAATTAAAATTTATATTTTATTCATTACCTTTATTTGATCGCCCTTTTTCGTAACTGCATTCTTTTTTCCAATACTAATTTATTTTTTGTTGGCTTGAATTTGCACCCAAAATTTTAGTATGCTGCTAACCTTTTTTGCATTATTTTTAATAATATAAGTTAGCTTTCCTACAATTCTTGATTTTAAACGTGTTAAAATTTACATATTTTATATTGGAAATTTTCCATTTTCATCTGGAAAACCCGGAAAAGTCAGGGAATTTTAAAATTTATTTTCTCTGGCAACCCCTGAATTCACTAGTTTTCCGCAATAATATTTGGATTGAGAGATACAATATACGGCATGTCCTGATACAAGTTTAGTTTTAACTTCTTGCAGCTGACGTCAAAATCTATATATCACAATTCATTCAAAGACATTTCCTCTTCCAACTACAGTAGTGGTCATTTAATTCTCCTTCAAAACATTATACAAAACATTATCACAAAATTGTGTTACCTTGCTCAATTTAAAAGTGTTACAACAAAAAATTATAGAATTAATCGTATAAAAAGAAAAAATTTAATTTAAATAGAAAAATTTTTCCTGTAAAAACACTTGGCGCTGCTAGATCTCGATATATAATAATAACATGGTAATATACAAAGTAGTAGTAAAGGATGAATGTAAATAAGAAGGATAAGATTATAATACTTTGAAAAATAATATAATTAAGAAGCATATTAATAAAAAAAAGTCAGAATCATATTAAAAAATATGAATATTTCGAAAAATAAGAAAAATAAAAACTATCCCCAATGAGAGTTAAAATATCTAGCATGTGTATGATTGAGTTATAGAGTCGTGTAAATTATGATGATCGTTGTGAATGCTATTAAGTTTAAATCAAAGAAAAATAAATTTAGATTTGTAAGATATGCATTATGAAAGAGAATTTATTATTTCTTTTATTATTACTTTTAAATTATATTACAATTATTGTACTATATGCCATAAAATATATTACAATAAAATTACTTATACATTTTTCAGATAATCTGACAAAAATAAGATTGCTTGTAGAGGCCCTCCACCACCCCCGCCGATTCTAATCGACGGTCCTCTTTGGACTATAGGGACAGAAATAATGCACTGCTTGTAAACATCGTTATCATTTCTTTGTTTATAGTAACAATTTGGTAATAACGTTACAATTTTTTATAATGGTAACTAAGATTAAAGTTGGAAAAATTTCTTTTGAAAAATAATTTGTTATCATTAGGAGTTATTTATTGAAAAAGGTATGTAACTCGTTATTTTATTAGTAAAAAGGTAAAAAGTAACGCGTTACTAATACGTTATTCGTTACTCGCTATGTATAACGACTAATGTAACGAATTATTTTTTCAATAAATAACGAATTACTTTCCAAAAATGGCTTTCTCAATCCTGATGCTAGTTACCATTTTAAAAAATTATAATGTTATTACTAAATCATTATTATAAAAAAGAACAGTAATACAAGTAACGCATTTCCATTCCTATTTTAGACACATACCTTTTTTATTTTTTAATTTAACATTTTTCATTCATACAATTCCTTTTGTATCATAATACACTTTCTTTTATATCAAAATACAATGCATTCCATATAATATAAATTATAATTTAAAAAATAAAATTACAAATATATATAGTAATTCAGTAAAATATAAAATTACAAATATATAATAGTTAAGCCTTTATAAAGCTACTCCGCATTTACCGAATATCATTGTAGTTATTATGCATTCTTTCACAATTTCCTTTATAAATGAAATATGTTGTGTTGTGTGTGTGTGTGTGTGTGTGTGTGTGTGTGTGTTTGTGATATTTTTAATTAATTTAAATTAATTTAAATTCAAATTTTATTCGATAAAAGCGGATCAATCTTGTGCAAGTCCTCCACCCCAATTGCGGTTATTATGCATTTTAACTAAACTATATAGTTTATAATTTCTTTTATAAATAAAGTAATATCTTTAGATTAAAATTTCATCCGATAAAAGCGGACTAACCTTGTAGAAGCCTTCCACCACCACCGTCGATTCCGATCGGCGGTCCTCTTTTTTTTAAACTTAAAACACAAGATACAGTAAGCCTCTTATAAAAATTGTCAATCATAGTCGAATATTCTTCTCACGATCGACTATGATTGATCAATTTCTCAAGATTTATTGCATCTATTGTGTTTCAGAATTTATACGTCATACTGTAAAATGAAGTTTAAAAAATCGGGATAACTGATACAAATTTTAACAATGCCCAAACAACGCGCATATATCAAAATTTAAACATAAAAAAATCTTAAAAACATCCTGATTTTGGATATGCGTGCTTTCTTAGGCATTTTTCAAAATTTGAGTAAATGATATCTCGACTAGTTTAAAATTATCCCATTTTACGGTACATTTTTTCATATTTTTATTATTTACTTTATATATTCTATATACAATTTCTTTTACATTATATATAACACAATATAAAACATGCGTTTTTGAAGCATGACAATATAAAAATGTTGAATATGAAAATTGTTGAATTTTAATAAACGAAATCGAAAATTCAAACAAGTTAATTTAGTGAATTTTGTCTTACGTCTTATAAAATTACGAAGTTATGTTTCTTTATGCAAATTTTCAGCCCGTTTTTATCAAACATAATTACTAGTACATATATGTAACTCTTTTATTTTAGAATAAGAGACGTGAATGATTCATATCTTATTCTAAAATAAAAGACTCAGTCTTTAGTATTCTTTAGTATTCATTATTTTAAATAATAACACTTCTGACTTATTTAATATTTTAAATAAGTTCCGAAAACTATTTTATATTTTTTATTTTAAACAAAACATATCAGTTTTTTATCGATTCCTACGATTTCATATTTTAAATAAGTTTCTGGAACTTATTTTATATTTTTTATTTTAAATAATTTTCATAACAGTTATTTTATCGAGCATTATACGTCAGTTTAAAGAATTTCTAAAACACAGATAATTTGCAGTAATAGTGTCTTAAATTAATTTTTTAACTAAAAAATTAAATACTGATTAACAAGATATTTAATACTTTTAGCCAAAGCTGTATTTAGCGTAAATTGTTTTGCGATATTTATTAAAAATTTACATGTATCTTTATATAAAGAATATATGGAATATTTTATCAATCTTTATTTAAGTATTAATTATTTAAAAAGAATAAAGAATATTGATATATAATGTTGGAACATCAAAAATACTCCACGCGAATAATTATTAATTACGTTTAAAAGAACCGTGTATGATTGAACAAGTGCCAGAGATGCCAAAAGCAAAGCGTGAAATGAACGACGATACCCGTTTGTCACAATCATGTAAAGTACGAATAATTGAATAAAGATTATGTAAAAAAAAATCTAGTAAAAATCTCTTTTTACTTCTTGCCTTTTAACAGCACATTGTAATTAATATGAAATATTTGAAATGATAAAATAATATCAAATATGTTCCACGGTGTATCACCATGTAATTACGATATCACATTAAACGACTCGCGCCGCTAAAACTTGTAGATATACGAGAAGTTGTTTCAATAATTCCGGGACGAAATACTAATTGGATTTTAATTTGTGGTAATGTCCACTAAGGAGGCCTGACTCGAAGCTTTGTGATTGGCCGCAGCGTTTCGTCCTGGTCCCACACTACTAGACTCATCAGTAAGGCGATGTAGTGTGGGACTTGCCTTAGACGCCTGGAATGAATCCAGAATGATGTTCTATTTAAAGGGAATTGGCGTGATGCTTACGCGAACCGAGTGAGTCCCGTGGACCTCTAGTGGCGAGTCGCCACATTATATTTCACAAATTATTATTTTGTTCATTTTATTACATTTTACACTTGTACTTATATTTTATTAGCAAATTACTTACATTTGTATTTTTTTCTGTTTAATATCTAGATTTGTTGCAAAGCGATAATTCACGTTTTTGTTTTATTTATTTACGAAAAATACGCAGTATACGTATACAATATACGATATGTAATAATCAATAATTTATTTACAATAATGCCGTTCGATTGCAATCATCGCCGATGTTTTGTTATCGAATATTTCGAAACTATTTATATTTTTTTCTTAATTTGGAAATTGTGTTATTGTATGT